CTTTAGGCATTGAAGAAGAGCAGCGTGTTGGTAACAGAACAGCAGCATTGCAGTGCTGGAGGATGGCAAACACATAGTGGAAAGGCTACTGTTATTTGCAAGTATTTGCACAGTGTAATGGCAATTTTGGGCCTACAGTAATTTTCACCTTCATGAAGGTTATTGTGACTGTGGGGGATTACACTGCAAAAGACTCAATGGAGGTGAGGGGGATGACAGGCAACTGGAATTTCCTGTTCTTTCTTTTAATTAAACTGACCATTGCCCACTCATTGGAGGTTAAGATAAAGGTGTGAATCTACTTGGGTGGGTGGGTCTAGGGATGGTCTTTTGAAAAGTATATAAAACAGCAAAAACAAGAGAGACATGTCCTCTATGTCCTTGTGTGACTTCCGGAGCCAGACCTCAGAACATCAGGGTGTCTGTGTGTAATGTATCACCATTGCTCTGTCTCTCTTTTTTTTGTTGAAAACCCCTCCACGCACATATATTTCTGCTTTAACATATGTAAATTTCAATTGTACATCTAGAGCTGGTTATAAGCAAAAAATGTACAAAAACACAGTAGCTTCTATTCTTAAATAATTTATGGAAAGCCCAAATCTATTGTATAAATATAAGAAATAGGAAACTTCAGCACCAAGTTTCTGGGCATGGGCAGTGGAATTGAAGCAATATCGGTAAACAGTGTTGTACTAGAGCAGCAGAAGGTTACCAGAGCTGTTCCATGTTACCAGCTCAATACCATGTTAATAGACTTGTGTCATGTTAGTTTAATTTCATGTTGTTACAGTAGGTGACATGTTATCAAAGCAATGCAATTTAACACATGTTGTGCCATGGTTCCTGAACAGAACTATGTTTCCAGTGCAGTGCCAAGTTACTGTCACTGAAACATAGCAAAGTTTTAGACTGGTACCATTATATCCTAGCAGTGTCAGGTTACCAGTATGGTAACATGGTAGCAGAACAGTGTTGTGGTGAATAATAGATGGTCTTTCCATAGAAATGAATAGAAATTATGGTACACATGAGTAGAAGAGCCAGACTAGGGGGAATTCTACAGTAGCAGCTGTATGGCTCCCAGTGGAATGGCCAGCAAAGATCTGGACTCAGAGGACTGAGGACAGGTATAAGAATTATGGAGATGGTATTCTGGGGGGAGGGGATTCAATTAAAAGATAACTGTAATAAAAGTACAGTGACTTCAGGCAGGTAAAAAAACACCAGAACTGTGTAGTATTGCCATAGAGAGACCATGTTACTTGAGAATTACAATATATACTCTGACAATAAGGTTTACAGCTTTGTCTTTCTAAGTTATGCAATGAGAGGATGACAAATCCTCTCCTTTTTAGTAGGGTAGAATAGACCATCTTCTAACAGGTCGGACCTAAGTCTTATTGTTTTATGGAAATCCAGTAAACCTTCAACTTGACCATGCATATTACCACTATTTGGTGGACACCCAGTTTGTAATGCAGTTGTTGAAGTTTAAGGGTGGTATGGGTTGATTAAACTGGGACCTAAATCCTGACAGTATGCGTATTGTGATCCTGCTCTTAGTTATTAAGTGACAGTTGTATGTGGTCAATCAATGTGGTTGCATTGATTTTTAAAATGTTTATGGGGGATGGGGAATTTTCCCCAAACTTTCTAGGTTCTCACCAGGGCAAGAATGATGTGTCAATTGCCCACAGCCTCCTAGGATAACCACATCATGCATCCCACTAGGAAGTGGGGTATGATACCATGAATGCACCATGCAAATCATCAGGGGGGTTGGTTATCACCACGTTTCTTCCAGGGGAGACAGCTGTACTCTTCCTAGAACTTGGGGCTGGCCCACTGACAAGATGGCATAGCGTATGCACATCATCATGGTGTCAGCTGCAAGAAACCAGAATAAACAGCTGGCCTCCTGATGATGTGAAAGATGAAGATGGCGGCACACGACCCAGTGTGCAGCATCGGCATGACGGATTACTACAGAAAACTGCTGGATTGCTGAGTGTGCGTGTTTTTTGTGAATTAACCAGCAACAAGTAAGGAGGAGGAAGAATTAGGTGGATGGGGAGTGAAGTTAAAGGGCCTGTGTTGATGGGTTTAGGGCTTCTGTGGATGGACAAATTTAGTATACTTTTAGGTGTACTCTGATTGCATTAGAGATCATTTTTGGGATGCTTCTGAGATTATTACCAAGTCACTGACAGGTACATTTAAACTGTGATTGACCTCCTTTTGACCCGCATTTGAACATCCTCTAGGGTGCATCAATCTGCTTAAGCCACTTTTACATTCGCATTGGCTTGCAGGGGGACTTGCATGGTGCAAACAAACTCCTATCAGCACAACTGGTTGATAGGAATCTCCCCTCTGAAAACAAATAATTCTGTTTCCTGTGACTGCTGGCAAAATGACTGATATGCTGATTTCTTAAGCGACAGGTAAGATTTCAACACCATAATTTCCACTTCCCTTCAAGTGATGTGGCCATTCCAAAGCCACATGATTTTTTCATGTCCTCCTAATTCCCCAAGCATTATTTAGAGTAAAGAAATAACTGGAAAGTTCAGCTGTGAGAATTTAACTCTCTCGTTATTAGGGATGATCCGCACATACCTGGATTAGGTGCTAGGAAGGTTTGCAGAAAATTACTCAAATTCTGGAGCTGAAAGTTAAAAAAAACAGTAATGGCCATTTTATAGACTAATAGGCAAGGAATTGATAAACAAATGGAAGGAGGAGCTCAGCACTGCCATTGGGAACAAGTACCACAATTAGGGAGGGAGGGAGCAGCAACTTTAATAATACTTTAAGGTCAACATTAAAAATGTAAAATTCCTTTAAAAACCATTCCTGGGAGGTGCCCTTAACTTGCCTGTCAAGTGGAGCATCTGAACAATATACACATCCTACTACTGACTGGGAAATCCTGGCCAGTAAATGAATGGGTCGAGGAGATGTCACTGGTTGCTAAGGATGTAGTGGGTGTTAGCACCTGCTGATACCTTAGCAACCATTGACAGATAGGAAGCTGTATTATACATAGAAGTGGTAGAAATACCACTGCTAAATATGATTTTCAGCTCCAGATAAACAGACTTAAAGTCAGACATATGCCCTCACAACCAAAGTTTGGTCTGAACTTGTGTTCGGACTTAACCTTGAGCTCATCCCTACTCATAATGGTGTTGTTTGTAAAGAAGAGACAAAAAGTATATGTTTGCATAAATGTACATTTTAAAGTTTTTTTTTGGCCAGGCTATGAAATGACAAGAATATGTTCAATCTTAATAAGCAGTAAGTAAGCTTTAAAACAAATCCTCGCTGACCTCTGTAGCTGCAGGAACTGTGAAGCAAATAATTTCAATGTTTACAGCCGAAGTGCTGATGTTGTTCAAGTTGTTCCCTCAGCAGCTCAGTTTCCTCTGTTCCCACTCCCTGTTTCAACTCATGAGCCCATCTTCCTCTGATCTCCCCTTTTCAGCAGTTACTCAGCAGTTCTGCTCACCCTGCTTCCCGCTCCTAACAGTGGCTCAGCAAGTCAGCTCTCCCTGCTGCCCCTTACCAGCAGTGATTCCACAGCTCATTCCTTCCTGCTCCCCTCTTCCAGATGTGACTCAGAAACCTGCCAAATTTCTAATCTTTATTGTAAACCAGGGGCGGACTGACTATATGGAAACTCGGGCACTGCCCGAGGACCCGGGGTCAGTAGGGGGCCCCATGAGATGTCCCTGGTACCTTTTTCATAGGCTTTTTTGAGTTTGGGCAAGGACACGGGCCCCATGATCCCCTATTGCCCAGGGGGCCCCATAAGTTGTTAGTCCGCCCCTGTTGTAAACACTGCAATAATTTTGGAAGGAGATCACGGGGAACACTGAGCTGCTAAGAGAAAGACTTAGGCCTCATGCACACAGACGAACTTAGGCATAAAATATTTTCCCGCAGCTGCTGAGCCACAGGTGGGGTGTATATCTGACCATAGAAGTAAATGGCTGTACACCCCTGTACTTTTGTAAGTGCTGCTGCTTCTTTACTCCGGCAATCACCTGCACATGTGCGTAAGACCTATGTTTTCGAATAAACAAGCGCCACATCTGGGAAGTTACGTTGGACATGCATGGCCAGGTAAGCACGGAAGCAGAGAAGCAGCAGAGTTTACATGAGTACAGGGGAATACAGCCATTCACTTCTATGGCAAACTGTATGCCTCACCTGCACCTCCCCAGCTGTAAGAAAACTTTGAGGTTGATTTAATAAAACTGGAGAGTGCTTTGACAAAAAATCTGGAAGCTGATTGGTTTCCGTGCAGCGCTGCAACAGATTGTGCACTCTCCAGTTTTAGTAAATCAACCCCTATGTGTTTTTGTCACTAGCCATATTTTATACCAAAATATGTCTATGTGCATGTAGCTTTAACCCCTTGCCTACCGGGCACTTATACCCCCTTCCTGCCCAGGCCAATTTTCAGCTTTCAGGACTGTCGCACTTTGAATGACAATTGTGCGGGTATGCAACACTGTACCCAGATTAAATTTTTATCACTTTTTTGAGACAGATAGAGCTTTTTTGGTGGTATTTAATCACCTCTGGGTTTTTATTTTTTTTCTAAACAAACCAAAAACAACTGAAAATTTTGAAAACATTTTTTTCTTAGTTTCTGTTATAAAATGTTGTAAATAAGTGAGTTTTCTCCTTCACTGATGTGCGCTAATGAGGCTGCAGTGATGGGCACTGATAGGCTTCATAGATGGGTACTGATAGGCGGCACCGATGAGGAGGCACTGGTAGGTGGCACTGATGGGCATTTAAATGCATCACTGATGGGCACTGAAAGGCAGCACTCATATATGGCACTGATAGGTGGCACTGACTGGCACTGATAGGTGGCACTGACTGACACTGTTAGGTGGTACTGACTGGCACTGTTAGGTGACACTGATAAGCAGTACTGATAGGCATTGTTAGGCGGCACTGATGTGCACTGATAGGCGGCACTGACTGGCACTGATAGGTGCCACTGATTGGCAGCGCTGATAAGCAGCACTGACTGGCATTGATAGGTTGCACTGACTGGCACTGATAGGTGGCACTGAAAGGCAGCTCAGATGGGCACTGATATGTGGCATTGATGTGCACTGGTAGGCACTGATATGTGGCATTGATGTGGCACTGATTGGTACTGATATGTGGCATTGATGTGGCATTTATGGGCACTGACAGGTGGCACTGCTGGCGCTACACTGATCATCAGGGCACACTGATCATCAGTGCCCTGATGATCTGTGTACATGTCCCCTCTGAGTAATGCCGATTACTGGCTCTCCTCTCCTCACAAGCTGTCAGCATGACAGCTCATGAAGAGAGAAATGCCGAAAACTGGCATTTCCTTATTTACATGCGATCAGCTGTGACTGGACACAGCTGATCACATGACAGAGCCGACTTCTTTGGCTCTTTCCGTTGATCGGTGATCCGCTGTGTCCCAGGGACACAGCACACCACTGATCACAGCACTGCGCACCTCTGGGGTTAGAGTGGGAGGACGTCATATGATGTCCTCCCAGAACGAGAGAACCGCCTTGCGCTCATCATTTCCTTATATGGAGGGCGGGAGGCAGTTAAATGACTTCACTCCTTCAGCTCTGTGCTTTAAGGATAAATTGCTCTACAGTGCATACAGTTGCAAGAAAAAGTATGTGAACCCCTTGGGATTACGTGGAGTTTTGCATGAATTGGGCATAAAATGTGCTCTGAACGTCATCTAAGTCACAACAATAGAAGAACACAGTCTGCTGAACATAATACTACACAAAAATTAGATGTTGCCATGGTTTAATTGCACATAACATGTAAACATTCACAGTGCAGGGAGGAAAAAGTATGTGAGGCCCTAGCTTAATGACTTCTCCCAGAGCTAATTGGAGCCAGGAGTGAGCCAACCTTGACTCCAATCAGTGTGATGATATTGGATGTGTTGCTGATAGCTGTCCTGCCCTTAAAAAACACACACCTGTTTTGGGTTTACTGGTTTCAAGAAGCACTGTCTGATGTGAACCATGCCTCGCAGAAAGAGCTCTCAGAAGACCTACGATCAAGAATTGTTGACTTGCATGAAGCTGGAAAGGGTTACAAAAGTATCTCCAAAAGCCTTGATGTTCATGTGTCCATGGTAAGATAGACTGTCTACAAATGGAGAAAGTTTAGCACTGTTGCTACTCTCCCTAGGCATGGTCATCCTGTAAAAATGACTGCGAGAGCACAGCGCAGAATGCTGCATGAGGTAAAGAAGAATCCCAGAGTGTCAGCTAAAGACCTACAGAAATCTCTGGCACATGCTAACATTTTTGTTGACACATCTACAATAAGGAAAACATTAAACAAGAATGGAGTACATGGGAGGACACCACGGAGGAAGCCACTGCTGTCCAAAAAAAATATTGCAGCACGTTTGAAGTTTGCAAAAGAGCACCTGGATGTTCCACAGCACTACTGGCAAAATATACTGTGGACAGATGAAACCAAGATTGAGTTGTTTGGGAAGAACACACAACATTATGTGTGGAGAAAAAAAGGCACAGCACACCAACATCAAAACCTCATCCCCACTGTAATACATGGCGGAGGGAGCATCATGGTTTGGGGCTGCTTTGCTGCCTCAGGGCCCTGGACGGATTGTTGTCATTGATGGGAAAATGAATTCCAGAGTTTATCAAGACATTTTGCAGGAAAACGTACAACCATCTGTCCGCCAACTGAAGCTCCGCAGAGGATAGGTGATGCAACAGGACAATGACCCAAAGCATACAAGTAGTTCAACAAAACAATGGCTGCAACAGCACAGAATACGCCGTCTGGAGTGGCCCAGTCAGAGTCCTGACCTCAACCCGATTGAAATGCTGTAGCATGACCTTAAGAGAGCGATTCACACCAGACATCCCAAGAATATTGCTACACTGAAACAGTTTTGTGAAGAGGAGTGGTCCAAAATTATTCCAGATCGTTGTGCAGGTCTGATCTGCAACTACAGGAAAGGTTTGGTTGACGTTATTGCTGCCAAAGGAGGGTCAACCAGTTATTAGGTCCAAAGGTTCACATACTTTTTCCTCCCTGCACTGTGAATGTTTACGTTATGTGCAATTAAACCATGGCAACATCTAATGTTTGTGTAGTATTATGTTCAGCAGACTGTGTTCTTCTATTGTTGTGACTTAGATGACGTTCAGAGCACATTTTATGCCCAATTCATGCAAAACTCCACGTAATCCCAAGGGGTTCACATACTTTTTCTTGCAAATGTATAGCTACAAAGGTCATTGATGGCTTGTTTTACATTTCCTGCTGCTGTAAATAATAGAATGCCCATAGCCTAGTCATTTACAGAAAGACAATAGATGTATACCATTAGCAACGTTTTTTGAAATGGGTACAAATCTACCTTTAATGTAAACATATTGTAATTGCAGTCTCTGTTGAAGTTTCTGTTAACCTCTGCAGTTGTCATTCTACTGTCCTAATAAATAATTCATAGCGAGTGAGTATTGTGACAGTTCCCTATTACATGTCACTTAAAAAAAAAAAATGTTAGTCCGTATAATAGATTAAATGTACAATCACATCTCTTTGTCAGATATTTCAGTTTCTTTTCATTGCTCATCCACAGCGAAGTAGGGAAGTTGCCAAAAGATAGTGTCACTTTCCGAAATTACTTCTGATAAAGTTTCTTTCCATTTCAACATTTTCTCAGTGACGCTTTTGTCAGAAGGTTGACGCTAGTGTCTAAGTCATGCTGTTATTTCCTCCTACCAAGGCACAGAACTTCTCAGTACACAATAGAATGGAAAATGTCATTCTGAGACAATGTTGTGTATAGAGTGTGGTGGGATATTTCTTCTTTTAGTTTGTTTACTCCCCTTCATATCCATATCAGTTTTCAGGATTGGCAGATACAATACCTGCTTTGGATTAGAGGCCTTTCACGAGAATCCCATACATTAAGTTCTAGAAGTTTAGAAAATATAGACAGAAATATGGGAAAAACACATTTTCATTGGACCCATCTATACGTTGTTAGAGGACCGAAAGGATGCATTTTTAAGAATATCAATATGAATACATAATGAAGGACTTTGACAGCATTTGCTGCAGGATACCTGAACGGGGGTCTTGTTGCTGTAATTGTTGCTCTGGTGAATTTGCCTGGACCACATGTCATTATCTAGGCTTCTCATTGCCACAGGACTCTTCTGTGGATAATCTCTAAGCCCTGATGTTCAACCATTGGCCCAAGGGCCATATGTGGTCCTTTGAGACCTGTTGTGTGATACTTTAAACCTATCAGACATTGGTGGGGAATTGATTTGTAAAATGGCTGTAATGGCAGTAAGCTCTAGCAGTTTTAAATAATATATAATATTCCTGTCTCCTGCAGCATGTCTTTTCCACACCTGTAGCAATTTCCCAGCCTCTGACAGTCTTCTGTATCATTAATTATGCTAAATATTATATGCTCACCCTTAACGAATTCAGTGTCCATAGATCAAAACCCCAATAAGCCATACATTGACCATATCTGTTCTAAGTTATCAATGCATGCCAACTTCCCAGTAACATGCAGCATGGAGGGTTCTAATCCATATAGATGATCCGTGTAACTGATGTTCCTTCTAAAATCTTGAGTTTATTCAGAAAACCACAGTTTACAGTACGCAAAATACAATTAGTTGAAGCATTTCAGCTTACATGGCTTTAATCATATTATTCATATGATTAAAGCTGTGTAGGCTAAAACACATCAACTAATTGTGTTTTGCATACTGTACACTGTGGTTTTCTGAATAAACTCAACATCGGTTGTGAGGATCATCCATATGGATTAATACTTTCAGTTGTGTGACTGAAGATCAAGCTCTATTGATGGAGGACTAATGGTAAGTAGCACCTGCTCCTTTCTATATGAGTATGGAGGGTGTACAGATCTATCTGTGATGCTTAAAGTATAGCTAAAGGTAATTTTTTTACATTTGTATAGAGTAGTGAGGGGTTAGAATCATTGTCAGGTTTTTTATTGCTGTCTATCCTCCTGTTATGGATATTCACTCTAAATGTCCTGATCACCAACGTCTTCAGGTATGAAAGTACAGGTAACTCCAAAGTTTTGAGTTGCCACCAGAACAGGATTAGCGAGGAATGGGAACACTTGTTCCTGAAAACCTGTCTAAGAGGGGGCTTTCACTCAAATTGGAAAGATGTCCACTCATGTCATGTTGAGTTTAAAGCACAGGAAGTGAAGGGAAATCTCCCTAACAAGACACAGATGGAAAAAAATTACTACAGTTCTAACCTTTCCCTAATCTATCCAAACTGAAAAAAAAAGTTTTGCTTTAGATCTACTTTAAGGTGAATGAATCATTCCAGAGTGAGCACTCAGTGGGCAAAGTGACAGGTTCTTTGAGAGTCTATTCCCCAACCCACTGAAAAATACCCTGCCCACACTCCACCACTACTTTGCTTACCTGCTGGGAGCCCTTAATTGATGACCTACCTTCCTCCACCAGTTGAAAAGCTCAATGACTGTGCACACAGGTCTACACAATGTATCCTGGGAGGGAGATGAAAGGTTAGATGCTCCTAAATACCCTAAAGATTTCCTTTTCCTTAAAGAACCAACTGACAAACAGATCGGTGAGGAAATTTTACAAAGGTGAGTATCAATGAAAGGGCATTGTTAATACATAAATTTGTACTTTGCTCTAAACTGGCAAAGTGACAGGTTCCTTTTAACAATCCATTCTTTCTTGCCAACTCCACTCTTCTCTGTCTTCCATTTCCCAACATCCCCAAGACTTCTCCTTCTAACCTCCAATCACAAGCTGAACAGATTCCACACCAGCAGAGATAAATTTGTAAATCTGATTGTTGCACTTTGGGAGGACCTTTCACTTTTTTTTACACATTTATTAATGAATGTGTACTATGTTTTATATGGTTTTTCATGCAACAACTAAAGTACTAAGCATCTTTTTTTTCAGAGCAAAAAACTGATGAAGTAGATGACATCCTTGTTCACTGAACTCCCAATTTGTTCATGTTATTCTACCAAATTTCGACTTATGTCCCAGGATATGACCTGCTTTACTGGACTTGGCAACTGGTAGGCCTGGGGATTTTTGACAGGGAAAATGTTTATCATATCCCCCTGAAGTGATTGCAATTGGTGGTTCATTGGTGACTAAAATATTATTCATTTGGACTCCCCATTTTTACATCTGGTGCCAGTTAACTCACCATACCAGGAGGAGAAGTGCTGAAATGGTCCCAGAAGTGATGTCAGTTCCTCTTTCTGAGCACTCTTTTCTACTTGAGGCAGATCACTTGGCCTCTGAAGTCTAAATGAGACACCACTGAATTACTGGTAAACCTCAGTCAACTTTTTTTTGTTATGTACATATACAGGAGAGGATTTTTATTGCT